ATGTACAAGTGAAATGAAATTTAAAATAAAATTGTATTTTATAGGACAACTGGTAATTTTGAGAATGAAAGTGATCCATATTAGACCCAACTCTAAGAATTTCACAATATTTTACTGAAGAACACGATGACACAATAGATAGTGTTTAAATGCTTTAAACATTTAAAAAATAAAATAGTGAAGATCAGAAAGGGGTTTAGGATTCTAAAAACCTTAAGACTTAAAATTAGTGCTTTATTATTTTTTTTTTTATTTCACAAAAACATAAATGTAGGTTTTTTTAAGAACACTAATTTTAAGTTAAAAGGCTTTTTAATCCCAGACCTCACCCCTGATCTCCACCAATGTGTTAATCTAACCTTATCTTTAAATATTTGTACTAACAATTTATTTGGTGGCTGTTTTTAAAGGCCTATGCTTTTAATAGAGTGACGCTATGCGCCCACTCTTCTCTACCAATCTAATGATCTCATATAAGAGTTACGATGTATATAATACTTTAATATATTATTGAACAAAAGTTACTTATCTATACTAAAAGGCAATAGTAGCAAGTATATAATATAATGTGTTGTTGTTTATTACACATAAGTAGAATATACAAATATAATATTTAGTACAAAAATTAATTCAAATTTTGTATTACACAGTGTATACCAATTATTTGTATTATTAAAAAGCGACAAAGTGATATTTACTTATGACTATATTTTTGATTTTTAATGTTCTCATTAAAAAATCAGTGTACTAATTATTTAGTATTATTACATTATTCTAATGGTGTACCTACAGCGGAGCTTTATCCTATACAAATTTCTCAAAACTCTGAAGTCAAACTTTTTATTTTTTATTTATTAAAGGAACAACCAAAAAAGAAGGAAAATTACCTTTGGACCGTAGTCAATTTCTAGGTTGCTATGCGTGAGTTAATTAACAGTCAACAGGTATTTGTTAACAAAATATTTTCATACATAAACAACGTATAGATAATAACGGTAGCTACTCATTATATAGTTGACAATAAGCCGTAATCGTATCCTTCATAATTCATAAAATAACATGTGAACTACATTTTAACTTTTACAATTAAATATGTAAGTTCCCATTTAAGATTCAAAAGTTGATAGTGCTGTAGAAAAAAATAAAAAAAGGTATGAATTTGAATATCGTCTTATATTGTAAGGTAACATAATATTAAACTAAAATGTTTTCAAAAAGAAAAGCTATGAAATTGTATTTATTTGACACGAGGTAAACAAGATCTTCAGAATTTTATGTCTCGTTGGATTTCTTATGGTAAATTAAAAATATAAAAATATTACTAATGTAAACCATTGTTTGATTTTTATTACACAATACTTATTTATGTAGAAAACATTATTTTATAACAAATTTGATTATTGTCTAATATTGTAAAATAACAGTGTCCGAAAAGAAATACCATACAGTTTTGATTTTAAGAGAAAACGAGTGTCTTATCCTTAATTCAATCACTAAGTATTTAAACACATATCAAGAAATTTTCTACCACGTGAACGACTAGAAGACATATATTTTTTTCCTAATTGAATACAAAAAAACTATAAGAATTTGTTCAAAAGTTAGTGGAGGGTTTATTGCACACGTTTATTGAATCGAACAATCGACTAAGTTATTTCATCTACTTCTGTATTAAATTATTTAGGTTAAATCCTTAGTAAAGTTTGAAAAATAAATTTTTTTTGTATATAAATTTTTTTTAATTCTCTCTTTCTTAGGGAAAATCAAGAATAAAAAAAAAGTCGTATAAAGATGAAGCATAGAAAATATAACTAAGCACCTAATTAAATTATTATGATGACAAAAAAAGTATTAAATCATAGTAACTTGCTTTATATGTCTTGGGTAGCATTTAGCATTAATAAGTAAAAAAAGTAAGAAAGGTTATTATTATTTTTTTATTTCTATAGAAAATGAACGTCTGCAACGGCACAGAGTACAATTAAAGATATTTTCTGTAATCAAGAATTGATAATAATAATATATCAAAAGGATACAATTATAAACAAATTTAAAATTTACCGCTGGCACAACCATTGACTACTAAAATATAATTGTTTTTTAAAACGAACGTCCTAAAGGATCAAGTACAGTTAATAAAGTGAGTGCTTATTTCTAGATGTTACAAAAGTAATAAAATATATCTAATATATACAAAAACTCCATATTGTACATCCATACTCCAATATAGGACGAACCAAAGCACACAAAATAATTTTATGGCATAGTACTTTGATAAAAGATTCTATTAAAAGCCTAGTGCTTTACAATTTAAAACATAAGTAATAGTTTTTTAATACTCGTAGTTTATTACAATGTGTTAGAAGTTGAATCAATACAAGACATGATAGAAGCATATTATATATAAATGTATACTGAATATGGTACTAAGAAGACTCAGGAATCGAAGATAATCTTTGGGTTCTTCTATGTTTAACGCCAAACGATCAACCATGACATAATAAGTGTACCCAAAAGTATTGCAGTTTTATTTTGGTAGTCATATATCACCTGTAAAAAATTAAAATTATGTAATTATTAAAAATTAAAGGTTACATTTGACTATTTATGCTGAACAAAAAAGTACTAGTTGTGATTAAAGGTGCTTAAGGTTTTTACTAACTATTAAATTTAATTAGCAACTTTGTTTTTTATAGTAGCGTGAAAACTTTTTTTTAAAAAGTATTAATTCTCTGACGAAAAATATTTGTAAGTTACCAACGATATTAACGGTTGTAATAGCTATTTAGGGGCTTTTAGTAAGAAAAGAAATTATATAATATTTAACAAAACAATAACAGTTATCTGCTTAATTTATTTAGTAATTTCATAATTTTTTTTTTCTCAAAAAAGCCATCCTAGTGGGTTTGAATTATTGTGAAACTGGAGAGTTAAAGTGTTTAATAAAATCACTCAAAAAACGATTTGATGCCAGTCTATTCTATGTATGTAGTAAAATCTATTATCATCTATTATAATCTATTACCTGATGTTTTAATTTTTCTCAATAAAAAGTTTGTCTACAAGTTTTGTGTTTTTACAATTTTATAACATTTCTAAATTTTAATTTTTTTGAGACAAACAATATGTTATTTTAATAATGTTTTATCTAGATTCCGAAAGGATGGGTTTTTTTTCATAATATTTGGATTTCTAATTTATAGATTTGGTATAAAAAAAAAATAGGTCCAAAAGTTTAAAATTTATTGTGGGTCAAGACACACAATTATAAAATAGGGTTAAATCAAATTTAAATAAACAATTGAATGTTAAACTGTAAATAGTAAAATTTAGTATTTGTTTATAGTGGTGTTTATCGTAAAACTATAATTTAATCGTATAAATATTGTTTTTACAATGATGGGTCTTTATTTTTTTTTTTTTGTGCCTGGACCGCGGAATTTCCTAAACCGCTAATTCGACTTCTTTATGCATTAAATTTATATATCAAAAAGCCTGTACAGTGAGGTCCACGCTGCACTACTGGACCTCATTTTGGTATTTTATTACTGTGTTTGGTTTAAAATGTACTAGTTTAGACTATACTTGCTTAGAATTCTTACTATCCCCTTATTCATATCGAAGTGTTAATTTAAAAATTGAATATATCAGTTTCAGATAATAACTCCTGTAAACATGTGACCTCCCTTGTCTATGCTATGCTTTGTCCCCACTATGTTCTCGCCGTACTGGCTTTTTGTGTATAAGAATATTACAAATTATCTCAAAATTGAACACAGTAATCAAAAAACAATATATTCTTTGCTCCAATTTGAGGCTAAAATAATATTACATTTTTTAATTAATTTAATAAACAACTGTATTCGTTAGTTATTAAAAACATATTTAAAAATATTTTCCGATGGATTTAAAACACCTAAATGGGCATCAGATATTTTGCATGCCAATTTGATTTTAAAACTACCTTCGAATTTATAATGACACAGTGATAGCCTTAATAGATGACTGGATCAAGACACAGTTTAAAAAAAAGAAATTAATATTTAAGTCCCTTAACTATAAAAATAATACATTCTCCGCGTATACGTATTTCAGCAACAATGTTGTCTTCAGCGGTAACGGCAGACTTTTAAAATCTAAAGGAGCCCGCTCGGAGTTAAAACAAAAAATTGGTGTCTAAGACATCGATTGCCACAATATATAATATTATTTGATGAGAGTTTAAACTCTTCAAATGAAGACGAATAACAAATAATAAATCCAAAATAAATTTAAATTTATAATATTATACAATAATAATGAAAATAAAATTGGCACCTACACATTACATAATATATTATTATTTATCTTACTATTGTTACTATATATTATGAAATCTGACTTTGTAAAATATTTTACATATACTTAAGCTAACTGACTTGTAAGAGCATGCAATATGTTGAGACATTTTAATTGAAATTTAAAAAAAAGAGCTACCTTAAAATTGTTTAAAAAATTATCAAAATTTGAAATATTTTTTGTATAGGAGAAAATATAAGTTTTACATTAATCTCATTCCAACAAAAAAATTGCATTAAAGGTTCAAACTAAATTTATCAAATAATGCTATTAATATTATGTTTTGTAATAATATTGTTCCACGGTGATGAAATTATAGCAAAAAGCTTGTGTAGACAATCCATTTTACCACAATAACAAAATTCAACACAGATAGTGCAATTTCAAAATTACATTGACAAAATCAAAGGGTTTTCGATGGAAACTGCTATAATATGATTACTATAACATACTACACCTCTAATAGTATGATATAGGCTTTAAAATCAGAGAAATTACCCTTTTAACCCGTTTTTAATCAACGTTGCGCCGTGTTTGGTAAATAGCGCTGAACGTCACTATTGGTTTCATGAGCTTTTCCAGTAGGAACGGTCTAGTAGTTTCCCGGTGGCTTGATCAAACATTCTCGGTTCTCGCATACAATCGTGTCTCTAACGCCAAAAATGTCAATAGGATCCAGTGAACCTGGTTCAGTGTTTAACATGGAACGCAATCAGATTATTGAACATCGCCAGGTTAGTACATTATATTTTTACTTTTTAATTTTTATAATATTTAAAATACTTAATATTTTAATCACAACTATTAACAGAGAAGAAAACGAACTACATATACGTTACATCAGCTTAATAAACTAGAAGAACTATTCAATACTACGCGGTACCCAAATGAAATACTAAGACAACAACTGGCTGAAACTATTGAAATTGACCCATATTGTGTAAAGGTCAGTTATAACTTTTATTTATTTAAGTAAGTTGTTTACTTCTTGTGTTAAAAAAATAGTTTACACTAACTTAATTGAAAAATGTTGCACAGTGTAGATAAATTACGTTTCATTATTATACGGATCTTGTGTGTGCAATAACAAAAATATTATCCAGTCAAATTTGTTAGAAATTCGAGTTCTTTAACTTCTTGTGTAGCAGTCCTTCGGTTACAAGCTTCATACTTGTAAAAACTATTAAAATATACATAATGAGTAAAAAAACTCTTTTTATAATTTATTATTTTCAACTTTACTATAATACTATTACTATAAGATTTACTTACAGTATATTATAGTTACAGTATTAGTCATAGATAATAGACTGGGCCAAAAAAACAAACAATTTTTTTTTGAACGGCACTATGAAAATATTGTTCATGATGATAAAAAAAATAATGGTGAAAGTTAGAGCCCTTAATATTAACATTAAGATACCTATCATGACGACTGACGGGTTTTTACACTAATGGCATTTTTTTAATCTAAAACTCGTAAGTTATTGGCCTGAAAAATTCTATTAATACATATTCCTAAAGAAAATTGAGTTCCCTACAAAAAAGCTATCTATGTAAATTTTCCTCAAACAAGCTTTTTTCATCGAAATCGCGCCTTAAACATTTAACGGTTTTTTCAGTTTGAATTTTTGTAACTACCACAAATATCAATAATTAATATTTAAACGACTTGTTTGACGAAAATTTACAAAGATAGCTTTTTTTAGCTAAAAGGAAATATATCTTAACTTAAAAAAAAACAAGTTTTATGTACTTTCGTTGATAGAGTAAAAAAAACCTTTGTGAGTATTTTTGTTAGACTATATAATAGTAGCTTATTTCCAAAACTAATTATCAACCCTTTTTAAAATTTTGGGAGAATATGAAAAAAACCGTTTAAAACGTCTAAAACAATCATAGATATAATTTGTTTATTTATCTAAATACATACCCAGGTGTCCAGGTCTCCTTTTTATATTCCCCACCACCCATTAGACGAATGATGACTTTTGTCAATGCGGATCTTTCCTTTTTATTACCTGTTTTTAACTCATAATTTTTAAGATCATAATATGTGAGTATCTATTGGTTAAATTTCTCATTTCTTATTTGTAATTCTATACTTAAGGGTTTAATATATAATTATGTAAACAAGGGCGCCCATAAACATTAAAACAAATAAATAATAAGTTTTGTAAATAAATTTACAAATAAAGTTAAACTTTATTAGGGAAATAATGAGTTTTGGAAGTATATTTATTTAAAGACCAAATTAAAACAATATATTATTAAAAAACATTAACATAATATCAATATTCAGTTTTTGGAAATAAGCTACTCTATTATGATAAACTATGTTAAAAATAGGGTAAGCCATCTTCTGGTAAATAACATGTTTCTTAAATGTGTGTTTACTTTTTGACTTGTGTCACTTAACAAACACATGTCGACTGCCCCAACGAAAAGGGTCGTATCTCGTTTTTTGCAACTTTTCAGGATGAACCAAACAAACATTCAAATTTAAATTCTTATTCTGTTTTTAACATATCAGTTTGAAAATTTGGGTACATGTTATAGCATATTATCCAAATTTTCCAAGTTAAAAACAGAATAAGAATTTAAATTTGAATGTTTGTTTGGTTCGTCCTGAAAAGTTGCAAAAAACGAGGTACGACCCTTTTCGTTGGGGCAGTCGATGTGTAATATTTCAGTTTTCTTTACTTATTGTACATTTAGCTGTCGTTACATTATTTTACGCCTTTCGTCTCATTGTGCACTAACATTTTTATACTACACATGGCACATATTACAGTAGTATTCTAATTTATGCCACTTTGAACTTAAATAATCACACTTAGCTTAGTCTTCACTTCCTCATCGTCACATAATATCTATATTTTCCAAACTAAGTTGTTCAGTACCTCATAGAGTTTCTCAAGGAAAATCAATTTACAAAGGAATACTTACATACACCAGCACTTTGAAAAAAAATATGATTAAATAAAAATCTAAATTTTATATTACAAAAAAATTGTAGTAATAAAAGCCCAATCCCACTTAATATTATAAAAAAAAAATTACAGATTAACTAAAACAGTATCTATCTATTTTATTTGTAAAATAAGCGTAAAATACCGTGTATTGTTAAAGTTTTCGACGAAATTATACCGGGGGATTTAGCTTTCAACCCCCCCAACCTCTGAATTTTGGGTATGAAAGTCGAAAGTTTGATTGTACAACTTTTTGTTACTTAGGTTTGGTTTCAAAACCGAAGAGCAAGGGTGCCTAATGATTCCAAATTACAAAATGCCAACAACAAGTTGCAGAACCGGCGAATGAATAATATTGAACCGCAAGGCGATTTAAGAGGTAACCTCGTCAACATTTAATTTAAATTATTTCAATAAAATAATTATGTTAACTAAAAATTTACCTCGCATAGGACATCAAGTACATTTTGAAAGTAACAACTTTACAGAATCTTTACATGGAATCCATTTGAATGAATCCAGTTATGGTACTATCAATTTAAGACCGGATTTGGAGGAGCAAGAAGAGCAGACCAATATAAGCGTGTACTTAAAAAACTTCTATGAGCCCAAATACGATGTGTATCCAATTGATTTCACATTATAATGTGTAACTTTTAATCATTTTCTAAGTTAATTAGTTAATAATATAATTTATAACATAAAACCATACGTTATAATGATTTTTTTGTCTGTAGCCACTGTAAATTATTTTCAACTTATTTTTATGTTACTCATTATTTGTTTACAAAATGAATATTTTTTTTTAAATTAAAAACAAAAAAATAGTTATAAGAAACTAAGTATCAAGATTCTTAGTTTTAGTAGTAGGATGAATGCCTTACCATTTATGTTTCAAAAGTAGCAATAAAAAAACGTAAGTTGGGAAAGGAGTAAAAAGAAAAAAAAATGTTAAAAATTTGAACACAACAAAAAAAAATTGAATTTCTTATTAAACTTCCCTTGTTCAAAAGGAAAGAACATTAACTAGGTTCTTCAGTCATTTTTTTAGAAAACATTAATTTTACCTTAAACAAGCACTTAAAAAATTTAAAAAATGGCAGTATTAAAATACAAATGTTGAATGTTGGTTTAATAATTTTAAAAAAAACTGATGAGAGAACCTATAAATAAACATCTCATTATTTTAAATATGATAAAAATGTTTTCTACGATTATTATTTAGTCAATATTAGAGAATATGCATAGCTATAATTCGATGCAACGTTTTTTAAATATCTGTCAAAGATGCTGTGATAGTCAGAAAAAAAGTCCTAATTACTGAACTAATAATTAGATATCATAGTTAAACCTTTAAATTAAGATTTTGTAACTCCTTAATAAGACCAGAAGTAGTACCTTATATGTACTTTCTAATATCAAACATGAAACAATTTGTTTCTTTGCCATGAAAAACATAAACAATATTTTAAATATGTACACTTTTTCCATTTTAATTATACGACAGGCTGAAACTTTTTTAAAAATCAACCAATTACTTTTAAATTTGGGTATCTTTTTCTATAGATATAATAAACTTTTACCAGTATACAGAGACAATAATATTAAGCCTTTTATCCAGTGAGGGTTATATTCTTACTTTTTTGGTTTGGTTTTATGTCTTTAGTTCTAAAATCTAGACTAAAGCTTAATCCAATTGAATACAAAAAAAGTTAGAGTATCAATAAAATCATTTGTTATGTCATTTTGTGAAATGTTAGAACACTCAATATTTAAACATTGTGTGCATCTCAACTTTTTTTTAAATAGTCCCAAATTCATTTAAATATTTTATTTACCTCGAAAAAATTCCAACATTTGCAAAACTAGAATCACAATAAACTACAAAGGTATATATTAAAATATTCTATCAATAAATACCGTATGTCACAGATCTTAAACGTTTTGTAGTTTAAATTTAATATATTATGATTAATACCTTATTTAGGATTTTGAAGCTTTATTAGAATGTTCTCAGGAAAAGAAGCAAAGTCGAATACATTTTTAAAGATATAATTCAAAGATATTTTCACTGAGCCAAATTCTTTCTTCGTAGCTGACATTATCAAAAGTTGTTTGGGTTTTGTTATAAAAACATAACGTAACGAGATGGAATTACTTTTATGATAATGTACCATCTTGGTCAATATCAATCAAGTTTTTTTAAATATAATATAATATTCTACATGTAATAATTACACGAAAGTGTCCAAAATTAAAAAAACATGTTTTGGAGCTCGTGGTAGAATAGTAAAAATGAATTCAGCAGTGAGCATAAAGATAAAGGTGCTAGTACATTTTTATTTTCATGGCCAAAAAAAAGTAAAAAAATATCGTTATTGAAAATAAATTGGGATGTAAAAAAAAAGCTCTACTCAAAGTATAAGCATTTTGAATTCTATACCCACTCTAAAACAAAAATAAATCATACATTATAGATGTCGGTTGTAATTACATTTGTAATTAGACCTTCTGTTCGTCTTTGTCGTTGTCATTGCCGTTGCATCAGTGGAACGAACTTTTAGTGTTGGTAGTGTGGTATAATCTAAAAAAAGACGGAATATTAGTGACAATAACTAAAATTTAGATTACTTAAATATGATAAATAATTTTATATTGCATTTCAAACAGACAACTTTCATGCAAATGATTTTAATTTTAATTATTGAATTAATAAGGTAAAAGTAGATGAAAATTATTTGGTTTTGAGGAACCTTTATTGACTATTAGGGAAAAATAGCCAACACCTATATATTAATAAGCCAAGGTTTAGAGGTGTCTAAAATTTATTTTATTTTAAATAAGCAACACAAAGCATATGACTAAAATTTAGTTTAAAATAAAAAAAAAATACCCAAACAGTTTACATGTTTCATAACTTGAAATAATGATGCGCTATAACGTTTTAGTTTAAAAATAGTCGAATGTTTATAAATTTGTATGGAAAGTTTTTTAAACATAGTTTTATAAATAGGTATACTTTGATAAACTAAAAAAAGTATACAAATCCATTCTCCCCAATGGGTAGACATTTTTTACTTTATCTCACTCTATTATGTGTAGTTTATGGCCTTAAGACCGGAAAATTAAATTGAATGTAATTTAGTAAAGGCCCCCTTTTACTATACTGGGGGGGTATAATATATTTAGTTTTCTCAAAAACGTGTGGTCTGTCTTATTTTTTATTAAGAAAATACAAAAAAAAAGAGTTGTAATAACTCTTGAATCCCTATGATCTCCAACTATCTAATATGTACCGTTTCCATTACAGTGGTTCTAAATCAATGTTTTTTTTTTAAATGGTTGGGTATACCCATTTTTAACACAATACTCTCCAACAAAAAAATTAATATTTATGGGGTTTTGGCTAACTATTTCAGATTTTAAACCACTGTGTCGATCCCACTAAGCTGTTTCTTAATAAAAATATATTTTGATTGCAATAAGACAATAATAAAATTATAATTACATTAAGACAATTATAAATGTTATAGCCCCCCTCTCAACCATATTTTATAACGAATGAAAAGTTGTTAATTAATTTAACAATTAAATTATAGTATCTTAGCTTCAATTTCAGGCAGAGTAGGTATTGGCTTTATAGTTATGTGTTTTAGCTTTGGGACGGAGCTAAGATGGTATTGGTAATACAACGATGTGTTATACGTTTTGTTTTGTTTTTTTTTTGTGTAGAACACACATTGGGAGTTAGTATTAGAGTGAATACACGATTGGTAGACCGGCTGTCAATAACATTATGTTACCGTTGTTTCCCATAAGTCGTAATTACTACCTGTTGTGTTCACTCTTATAGAGCAACCTAGTAGTATAGTCAAAGTGTATTTTTCTTCTTTTTTGGACTTTCCTTATATCCCCAAAGGATCTATTCAGTCTAATTTTCAGTCCTTAAATCTTAAAACTAATCTTAAAAATGTAAAAAAAGCTATGGTTTCCACATAATCTAGGAGTAAGGGTTTATGATTTTTGTTTGCCAATTCATAGTATGTTGAAAAAAAAATTAACATTCCACAATAATATAGACTAAAAACTTCAAAAAGAAAAATTACAAAATCATAAGTTCCACTAAATCCACATCTTGTTAAGTTGACATATTATTACCTTAATCATAAAGAACTTTGAGTTCTCTGAAATACTTGTAATTTCTTAATTATTCCGGACTATGAATTGACAACAAATACTACATTTGATAATTACAATAGTTGTAATGAGCAGCTATAAGATTGGTTGCTATAAATAAATACTTTCCGAGGGGAAAAAAAAATTTAACATTTTACAATAACCAATTATTATGTATATACTCACCAAACACGACTATTCTAATTTAAAAAAAAGACGACTTGTAGCCACTCAGCAAATATTGGTCACAGATATTGGTCGCTGTAAATTATGTTCGTTAAAAAAATACAAAAATTAATAATTATTTTAATCATTATTATTTATGGCTATACTTACCAAGAAAGATTATTAAATTTAAAACAGAAGATATGTTGCCAGTCAGAAAAATTTGCAAGAATCGGTTGCCATTATTCAAGTTTCCTAAAGTAAGGTAAAACAATTCTTATTTTAAAATTATCAGTCATTTCGTTTATACTAACTATAACCATAACTGTCTGAATCCAGGATTAAGAAATGTCGTATTTCAGCAGGACTCCCAGGAATTGACGGCTGTAAATGAATTTCCTACAAAAACAAAAAAATAATAACGTATTATTTACAGTTATGAGATTTTTGTCATTAAACTTATCAAAACATAATAAATTCGAACTTTTACATTATAATTTGTAAATCTCATCTTTGGAATTTTAATTACTGCGTGTATTAATAAAATATCTATCGCTGTTTTAACTAAACGTTTTAATAATAACTTAAAATAAAAATCTATTCAAAAAATTAGTACAGTGTAAACCTGCATATTCTAAACCAAGCACAGTTCAAAATAAGCATTGTTTGAACCAAAACTGACTGTCGTCATAATGTCTTTAAATTGTATTCATTCTTCTGAACCGAATGGTATGTAAATATACCACACTTCACTAACCTCTTATAACATGATGGATAAGAATTAAAATAATCAAATATTCAAAAAAACCAGTACAGTGAGGTCGGGGCATAGTGGGGACGGAGCATAGTTGGATCAGGGCATAGTGGGGACGGGTAGGTTACAGATTTACAGGATTTTTTAAATCTGAAAGTGATAAAATTACTTTCGAGAAAACGCTTCAATGCAAATCGGTACTTAGTTTTTTCAAGCCGGTACAGTCCAAACCAAGCACAGTATAAACCAGCAAAGTTAGAAAGTTTTAAATGAAGGTTCTGTATTTACAAATGAACATCAAAGCGTTTATTTGAAAGTGATTTTATCCGAGAGGACTAGTACAGTAGAGTATTGGCATAATGTAATCAAAGCAATTAGGAAACGGAGAGGTCACAGGTCTACAGGAATTATTAAAAATAAAAGTGATAAAATTGAATAAAATCACTTTCAATTAAACGCTTTGATGCTCATTTGTAAATACAGAACCTTTATTTAAAACTTTCTAACTTTGCTGGTTTGGACTGTACTGGCTTGAAAATACTAACTATCGA